TATAGCTCCTCATGCTGTGTTGAACAAAATATAGCTCAAAAAATAATTTTAGATCAAGGGCCAAATGTAGTCGTATATGAAATCATAGCACTTACAGTTTTAGCAAGTTCTTTGATTCCTGTTTTGATCTCTCTCCTTTTGTTGGAAAACAGTTTAACCTCCATTCTGATGGCCTGAAATGGGACAAGTATATCACTTAAACAGGCAAGAGAAGTGATAGAGAGGTATGTGACAGAAATATGCACACTTATATACACATATACACATACATGCATAGGTCCACAGATACATAATAGGTAGACGCTGAGCTGCCAACAGGTAGTAGGATGGCTCAGCTTAAAAAAAAACAAAAACAAAAAAAAAAGAACTACATAGTACATAATAGGTAGAGCGTCTCTAGAAACGAATAAGACAAATATTAAAGGCTAATAATAACACCACTGCAATACCTTGCTTAAGTCAACTGCTACTATGTAAGTGACCACTGCAGTACCTTGGAACTGATGTCATTTATATGGTCAATGGAAAGAAAATAATTAAGCAGTGAAAAAATTAAATGGAGAATCGCTGACAAAGGAAAACCAGTCTGCTGTTTTATTGGGAACTTTAGGGAAACCGGACAAGGAGGCTAAATCCTTTGTCACCTTCCTACACATCAGAAGCCATGAGATCCTTCTCTTGTTCCCGGCCCACCCCTTTCTTGACGTCAACCATGCAGCATCCCCGCAAACGCACTCCAACGTGCAGTATCACACTTCATGCTTGTTGGGTTTCCTGTTAGGTTAAGTACAGCTCTTAAAGCTCATATAACTGAATCTAAAAGACCGAGGTGTGTTGAGAGCGTTCGTGTGCTTTCAGGAAAGTTACACTTATACAATGTAATGCTCTGCCAAGTAGGATCTCGTTCTACTTTCTAACTTTCCAACAGGTTTTCACAGGAAACTAGTCTACTTGGCACACCCTCAAAGCATTATTTCAAACCTCTTTCATGTTTTATAAATACCTCTTGGCTTTTTTGTTGTATCCAGGAAATTTCCTTCGTATTATCAACTTGGAGCAATGTCTCTTGCGATGATGAGTCAATGCTTAAACTCACATTCTCATTTATCTTAGAAGAAGACAGACATATGTCAAACTGAAAACGTATCAGCTTCTTCTCCTCCCGCCCCGCTTCCTATAGCTGCTTGGAATCCCCTTTGCATTTGTCGTGGTTTGGAAAGCCACTCTCCATTGACCACCACGTTCCCCTTTAGCTATTACTCCCTTTCTATTCTCCCAAGGCAGCAAAACGTCTTGAAAGAGTTTGAGATGTCACAGTCTCCTGGCCCTCCTGTAACCTCACTGGCTGCCCCTTCTTGGCCTCCTTTTCCTCCTGGATCTCCGAAGTTGCTCGGTCATGGTTCCCTTTTGTTTCTTGACATTCGGCCATGATGACTTCACCTGGTTTTATGCCTTTGAAGTCCATCCACATGCCCGTGACTCTCCAGCCAACATCTGCAAGTCCTTGCCTCTCCCCAGAACTGAGGGCTCAACTATGCAGCGGCCTGCTTGGTAACTCCGCTTAGATGTCTAACAGGGTTCTCAAGGTTAACTGGTTTCAGGTTCCCCGCTTGCTCTCCAGTCTTCCCCACCTCTATGAATGGTATCATCTCCTACATAAATGTTCGAGCAAAAAAATCTAGGTGTCATCCGAAGTCCTCCCTTTCCCTCTCTCCCTTAATCCATCAGTGAATCCTGTCAACTCTACCTCTGAAACCTACCNCCGAGCCTTGACTCTTGTTGCTCCCTTTGCTTGACTTTCTCCTCCCCCAGATCTTTGCATAGTCAGCTCTCTCTCTCTTCTTTTAGCTCCCAACCAAAATGTCGCCCCTTTAAAGTAGTTTTCTTTGACCACAGAAGTAGATCTCCCACATCTATCACAGCATTGTTTGCTTTTATCATACAATGTAGAGAGATTTATGTATTTATGGTGTGTCTTCTCCACTAGATTAGCCCCATGTGGACAGGACTGATCTCTAGCATTCACTGTATTCCCAGCCTGACATGTAATAGGTATTCAATAAATCTTGCAGAATGAATGGATGAATGGATGAATGGATGAATGACCACCCAGGTAAATTTTTTCTCCTTGAGTCAGTCTGTTGAGGTCCTTTTGGTCCCGAATCTGTTATCCAATATATTTCCTCTCATTCTCAGCCGTATATCACTCACCAATTTGACAAATCTGCCTCATTTCTATGTCTTCACTGTAGTCATTAATAAATATGTTTAATAGGACAAAGTCTTGAGGCATATTATTGGAAACCTCTCTCCTAGAGACATCAATCAAGTAATCAGTCTCTTTTTGTGTAGTTGTTTAACCAACTACAACCCACTTAAATGTCCTTGAATCCACTTAAACATCCTTGTTCAGAGGGAAAGATGTGTTTATACTTGCACACTAAAAAAATCAAGGGTACTGTGCAGGTTGAGAAAGAGGTAGCTTAAGAACATGTGGTGTAAAACACAATTAGGGCTTTTACCTAAAATAAAATCAATATGAGTAAACAACATGATGGGTCTGCAACAAAAAAATGCAAAGGCTGAATTAATAGGAGTATCTAGAAAAGTGGAGGTTTATTAAGTCTTGCTTTTCTCTAAACTGGACAGATAATAACTGGAATTCTTTTGTGGGTGCCAGACTCAAATATAATGAAATCAGAGGAAAACTGTGTGATGATGATGAAGCTATTGAAACTATATGATAATCATAGGAGCTGGGATAGTTAGCTGAGACAAGAGAAGATACACAGGGTACATGGCAATCACTAATCTTCTCTAACCGTTTTCAGAGTGGCCATAGAGGAGATGGTGCTCAAAAAATAACAGAATCAGTGAGTGTAGGGAGAAAGATTTCAACTTTAATTAAGGAAGGGGTTATTAAACCAGAGTGTGCAAAGTTGACATGAGGTAGCTGAGGGGATTTCCAAAAATTTTCAAACATGGTGGAAGATGTTTGGTATGAATGTCATGGAAGAGAGACAAACATCAAATATCTGGCTAGCCTACTTCTTTCCCCTAATGCCCAAATTCAGTAATTTTCTTACTCATTTAATTTATACACACTAGGTTTGCTTTATTCACATCATGCTGGAAAAGTTTTTGTTTTATGTGCATAATCCTGGAAAAGTTCTCCTTCCATTTTATTTTTCTCCCTTCTTTATGGTGCTTAAATTAGATTTTTCATACCTTTTCTATTTCTTCCTCACTTTCATCGTGAAGCCTTTCCAGTTCCTCAAGATCCAGAGCAAATTCCTGTTGCTCTAATTTTGCAATATTATCTACTGTTTCATTTTCTTCCATCATATTCAGAACCTGAATTTTAAAATAGGAAAGGAGGGTGACAAGAAAAGAATTAAACTTTAAAGACTCTCTTAGCAATCAAGAAAAAACAAATGTTCTGTTTATCTAAATGTAACTATTGAGTGAGGAATTAGGTTATGTGCTTGTTGTGGTTATTTAGCTTTTAAGGTTTAACTGTTAAGAGCTCATTCATCTATAAACAACAACAAAAATGTATGAATTCATCACTTCATTGAATGATATTAAGGAATTATTGATATTTAGGTGTGCAAACAGTGTTGTGGTTATATGTTTAAGAGTTCTTATCTTTTAGAGATACAAACATAAATAATTAAAGATGAAATAATATGATATCTAGGATTTACTGCAAAATAATCATGGGAGGGGATGGTGAATGAAGTATAGGTGAAATAATATTGGCAATTGGATTTATTATATTATTATTCTCTTGCCTTCATATATATTTGAACTTTTCCATAATGAAAACTAAATATTTATAACTTGAAAAAATTCAGGGGCAAAGGACACACATTGCAACATATATGCCAATCTTCAATATATAAAGAGCCCTTACAAATTAACAAAACAACTCAGGCGATATGATAGAAAAAGTGAGGTCTTCAGTTTCAAAATGGTGGACTCAGAATGACCTTTACAATTTTTCTTCCCTGCTCCAATCCATAAAATTAAGAGAAAATAAATGTATAATAAATAGATAAATTCATTACTGCAATTAAGAAGAAAAAAAGAAAAAGGATGCTTCATTAGCATGGGACTGTAACATCTGAAAGATGAAAATCAGATGGATCTGAATGATGCATCATAGCCCCAAGAGCCCTCAGGACAATACTGAACCAGATACAGGAGAGAGGGGTAACCTAGAAGTAGCTGGCATAGTAATTAGCTGGAGGTATTGCATTAGAAACAAGCAGTGGAGAACCCATATGTACATGTACCCCACTTGGTAAAACTGCCTGGGGCCCAGCAGTAGTAATGGGGTGTTTGCCTC